GTGTGTGTGTGTGTGTGTGTGTGTGTCTCTCTGTGTGTCTGTGTGTGCGTGTGTGTGTGTGTCTGTGTCTCTCTGTGTGTGTGCGTGTGTGCGTGTGTGTGTGTGTGTGTGTGTGTGTGTGCGTGTGCGTGCGTGTGCGCAGTGGCGGTGACTTTGGAGCCATTAGTTGGAGCAGAAACGTACGTCAATGGAAAACGAATCACTGATGGTGTTGTGCTCAAACAAGGTGACTTTTTTCAGTTCAATTTTCAATTTCCACGGTCGAGAATGGAAAAATAGTGTATTGTTTACTACAGTACAGACCATGCAGTACATAAATGCTGTTACACAGGACTAAATGTGCAACAGTAAACATTTCAAATACATTTATTTGGAAATAACTGCAGCTATTTTGCATTTATAAATCTAAAGCCATCGTTATACAGAAAACCTTCACACTCTGCACAGTTCTGTGTGCTGCAGAAATCGTAGTCTGGTAGCATGCCATTCTGAACATATCCTCATTATTATTTTATCTTCCTACACAAACATACCAGTGCTTGTAAGCTCTTTCGTTCTCCTTTGCCCTGTGCTTGTGTAGGTAACCGTATAGTGATGGGGAAGAGCCATGTGTTCAGGTTTAACCACCCTGAGCAGGCCCGCTTAGAGAGAGAGCGCAGTGCCACACAGGAGCAGCAGGGGGAGCCGGTGGACTGGAGCTACGCACAGGAAGAACTGCTGGAGAAACAAGGCATTGACATAAAGCAGGAGATGGAGAAGAGGTGAAAACACTTTTTAGCGAGTCTTCCTATGCGTATGGGTCTGTGTTCAGGTTATAGTCTCGGAAAATGTAAAAATGAAATGACCAGAAAACCAGATGGTCTGATCAGCCTTCTAGACCTGCTAGAAATCATGTGAAACCTGTTGTTGTTTTTCCCTCAGCAGGCTTTCCCGTGCTAATATCTTCTTTCTCTTTGAACCCTCTCTCTCAGACTGCAGGATCTGGAGAATCAGTACCGCAAAGAGAAAGAGGAGGCCGACCAGATCCTGGAACAGCAGAGACTGGTAAGAAAAGACACTGATTTCTGCAGAACGCTGCTGCTGTTTGAAATCACCGAAACAAACACGCCCCTACCTAAAAAGGCTGGGTAAAAAAGATCTATTTCTCGATTTGAATCGATTCTCATTTTTAGGAAACGATATCGACTCTTAAATCCCAAGAATCGATTAGTCTCGCCTGTCAAGATAATGAACGCAACATTGTACCGTCTCCCATCCAATAAAGTGCAATAAGCTTTGAGATTTGTTACTTTTGATATGAAACAAAGTCTCAGATTTCGAATTCTGTCCATTTTATTACAATATTCAAATATTAGATTCCGTTTTGGCGCTGTTTGATGTGGAGTGACAGATCGCTGTGAACTGATAATCTCCTCCGCTTTAACAGCAGTTACAGCATGAAATAAACACGAACGAACATCCGAAGGTGTTAAAAGAAAGAGTACGACTTACTTAAGAGTACAACTCATGTAATCGCTCAATCAGTGTTTCAAACGCGGAAAGACCACAATAGCTTGTAAACAATCTGTCACGTAACATCACATTTACTACAGAAAAACACATTCAGTGACCATGAACTATGTCAGCTAGAAAAATGAACTCTAGAGAGGAGCATTTTGCTTAATATGCACCATATAACATATTCATTATACATTTTTTTTGTGTTTATGTTTGAATAAATCCGTCAGGTTTTTGTGACAGCCACCATTTAAATGTTAATATTTCAAAAAGCTAATTGGAGTAGAAAAATAATGATGTAATTTAAAGTTAAAGTTAGTATTATAACTTTAATATTACAAAAACCTTGAGTTAATTTTAAGTGTTTGTATACAAATCAGCAAATTTCAACCTTCCATATTATTGACTCTCAGGTATATTTTACAGCATTAGTTGAGAGATTTTTTTTTTCCCTTGAAAAAATTTGCCATATCCTGTACCTGATATATATCCAAAATAATCGATATCGAATCGAATCGAATCGAATTGCAAGCTTGTGAAGGATAATCGAATCGAATTGTGTAATTTGTGTCAAACCCAGCCCTAGATCACACCCTATCTTGATAGCCCCGCCCCCAAAGTGCTGTGCAACACTGGCACCTCCCCCATCACAAGTGGACACGCCCCTTACAGCTGATTGGCTACAAGTAGTACATAGTTTTGGTGCTCGGTCTGATCCACTTTCAACAGCGTTTCTCAGAAATCACTTACTGCGTCTTTAATAAACACTCTTCATGATTTCAGAAGTCACAATTTGATTCCAAAAATATTCGATCTCATTTTTTAATTGAACTGATTACTCTGCCAAAACAAAATGCTGTTACTACCCATATTGTCTCCTAAACTGTCTTTTGATTATAGAAAATTAGAAAATTTTAAATAATTAACCAACATTATTTACCTGTTAATAACCGTTAAGTGTTAAGCCATGACTGAATTATCTGATCATGTGATACGAGAAAACAAGTGATCAAAACAAATGATTATATCTCCTAGTCTCTGACAGATGACACAAAACAGGATAGACATGAGCATTTGTGTTTTATTTTAATACCTGAATGAAAAACAGTAAACTTTCAGATGTATCTAATATTACAGACATCAATTTAGAATGGGTAGCTTGCGTGCACAGTTAACATATGAAGCACTAATAAAGACCTGTTTAATAAAATTTGTCTATCCACAAATTGAGTTGTGCTGTCTTAGGATGAGTTCACCGATTTTCAACCGGCTCTCTATTGGTACAGTGTACAGTGCGTGCATAATTATTAGGCACATTGATATTCTAATCATATTTTTTTTTTCCAAGCACGTTTTACCAATTCCAAACCACATCAATCTTAATAACTACTATTCATTTTATATTTGATCATTTATAAGTGATATATATAATTGTCCATGATGGCTGGAAGTGAAAAACTCCTTAATGTGTCTTTCTGTCTCTCTGTGTGTAGTATGCAGACTCAGACAGCGGTGATGACTCTGATAAGCGGTCCTGTGAGGAGAGCTGGAGACTCATCTCCTCTCTAAGAGAGAAATTACCAGCCAACAAGGTCAGACACACACACACACACACACTCTCTCACACACACACACACTCACACAGCTACACACACACACACACACTCTCTCACACACACACACAAACACACACATACACACACTCACTTACACACACACACACACACACACACTCAGATACAAACACTCTCTCACACACTCACTTACACACACACACACTCACACACTCATACACACACACTCTCTCTTTCACACACACACACATTCACTCTCTCACACACACACACAAACACACACACACACACACACACTCACACACACACACACACAC